TCAGAGGCAGGCTGGACTTTTTTTTTTTTTTTTAGTCGAGACAGGGTTTTGCCAGATTGGCCAGGCTGATCTCGAACTCCTGACCTCTAGAGATCCGCCTGCTTTGGCTGGACCCTTTTAAGAGGGGGCCTCTGCCCTCACGAAGTTCACAGTTGTGTGCTGGCTGAGAAGGAGCAAGACGAACCTTATCTGAGCCCATCTCCTCAGGAGCCCTTAAAAACAGCTCTGTAAAAGCAGTCCTATCTGCTGGAGGAAGGTGTCAACCAACACACATAACTGAGCATAACAGAGTAGGAAGGGTGGGACCACAACCCTCAAATCGTGGTTAGGAAAGAAGGGATCATTCTTTTTTCTTTTTGGAGACCTTCTCTGTTGCCCAGGCTGGAGTGCAGAAGTGCGATCTCGGCTCACTGCAACCTCCGCCTCCCAGGCTCAGGCGATTCTCCTGCCTCAGTCTCCCGAGTAGCTGGGATTATAGGCGTCTCCCACCGCACCAGGCCAATTTTTATATTTTAGGTAGAGACGGGGTTTCACGATATTGGCCAGGCTGGTCTTGAATTCCTGACCTCAAGTGATCCACCCAATTCGGCCTCCCAAAGTGCTGGGATTACAGGCATGAGCCACTGCGCCTAGCCCAGGATGGCTCTTTTCTTATTTTACAAAACTGGCAGGGCACAGAGGCTCTGAGAACTTCCTTCCTTTCTAAAGAAGCCTCTCGACAGTGAGTGGCGAGACCTCCAACCAGTAACAATGAATTAGTGACAGAGTTCATTTTGTACCATCTCGCAACCACCCACTGAAGAGGCGGGTCTTGTTATGAATGACATTAGGATGAGGAGGCAAAGGGAGACACACTCGGCCACCCACTCAAGATCAGCCAGCCCAGACTTGAACCCGGTGAAGAGGGTATTCATGCATTCAAAGCCCCGAAGAATGAGTAAAAAATTAAGAGGCAACATTTAGGGGTCCAGGGGCTGCGTCCTTAACCACCAAGATACCCGCCTCGCAAAACCTCCACCTTCAAGAAGCAATCTGTAGGGTCGACTTCCCATCACGATCACCCCCTCGTCCCATCCTCCAGCCCTTTTCCTGGGGTGCTCCCTCGTTCTCTGCTAGCGAAGAGCAGGGTTCCTGGGTCAGGTGACCCAGGTTCAAATCACACGATCCTAAGCTTTCTGTGCCTCCGTTTCCCCAACTATGGAATGGGCAGTTAGCAAAGGGGCTGCTATGGGGGCTGAACCGGTTCTAAAGAGGGGAAGGGCCCGATGCAGCGCTGGGCGCCGTTAAATCCTCACGACCGGGGGCCACCCAGAGTTCGGGAGGAATGAATGAACGACTGAACCAATGAGCCTTTCTAGACGCCGCCTGCCGTCTCCCAGCCTCTGAGGGCGAGGAAATGGGGGCGCCGGGCCCCGGAGGCCGCAGCCGGTCACCCAGGCCAACCCAGCTGGGACGCGGCCACCACCGCAGCCAGAGGGCCGAGCCTCCGACGCCATGACGGAGCCCGGGGCGGGCCCCCGAGGCCGAGTCCGTGCCTCCCACCCCGGGACCCACCCACCGACGACGCCAGGGCCCGGGCCTCACCCCGAGACCACCGCGCGCGGAGCCGCCCCCGCCACCGACTTAGGCTCCTCACCCGCCGCCGCCGCCGCCGCCGCGCGAGGCGGGGACATGCAAATGAACCAACGGTCTCCGCAGCGCCGCGCCGCGCAGGCGCAAGCCGCCGCTGAGTCCTGGTGCGCAGGCGTGGGCCGCCGCGGCCGGGCTCTTCTGCGCAAGCGCCCTGCCCGCTTCCTCGGGGCGCACGCTCCGGAGGCAATAAATTTCCCTGCGGGGTTGGGGGGCGGCAACCACAGTAAGCCTCCCGGAAAGGGAGGCAAAGACGCCACCGTCGCGCACCGAGTGGCCTTGTTGGCTTTACCTTGGTTCGCGATCGCCCTTAGTTACCTCGTGAGCCGCTCACGGGGCTCAGGCAGGCCGACGGAGGACGGCACAGAGCCTGCGCGCGTACGGCGGCCGGAAGGGGCTAGAGGCGGTGCCCTGGGTGACAGCCGCGCGCCCCTCCTTTCCCCACGTGGCCGCGAAGACCGGGTGAGAAGCGGCGGCCGCCGAGCCCTGTCGCGCGGGGAGTGGGGGCGCCGCGGGGTCCGGCTGGCGCAACCCTCGGGGACCTGGTTTGGGGGGAAAATGAATGAATTTTACAGAAGGCTCTTGGGGACAAAATGCGCGGCTTCCCTGGTCTTCGTTTTCTTTTCATTCATTTTATTTATTCATTCAGCACCTGTGTACTGAGTGCCTGCTGCTTGTCAGGCCCCGTCCTAGGCAGGGGGGTCAAGGAGGCTACAGGGTGCAAACAAATAAATGAGTAAATGAACAGTGTCGCTGTAGATACAGGTAATGGTGTACAAATAATGGAAGAGTGACGGGACGGGAGAGCAGGGGCTGCTGTTTACCTACAAGTGGTTTTTGAAGGTCGTCTCTTGAGTGCTGGGAAGAATGAGAAAGAGGCGGGGAAGAGCAGGTTGGAAGGCTTAGGTAGAGAAAGTGCCAATAAGGAGACTGAGTTTTGTTCTGAGAGACTTGGAAAGCCACTACTGGGTTTTGAGCAGGTGAGTGAGGTGGTGTCAAGGCTCTGGGAGTGACAGGCGAGGCCGCCCTCAGGGGAGGCTGATGATTGAACCAGAGTGGGTGTGGCTGGTAGAGGGAGATGTGGATAGAGTCTTTTGTTTTTTTTGTTGTTGTTGTTTGTTTGCTTTTTTTGAGACGGAGTCTTGCTCTGTTGCCCAGGCTGGAGTGCAGTGGCGTGATCTTGGCTCACTGCAACCTCCACCTTCCGGGTTCAAGGGATTCCCCTTCCTCAGCCACCTGAGTAGCTGGGACTACAGGTGTGCACCACCACATCCGGCTACATTTTGTATTTTTTAGTAGAGACAGGATTTTAGTTTCTCCCTGTTGCCCAGGCAGGTCTCAAACTCCTGGCCTCAGGTGATCTGCCCACCTCACTCTGCAAAATGCTGGGATTACAGGCCTGAGCCACCATGCCCGGCCCCCCTTATTTATTTTTTTTCTTTGCAAACAGCCCTGCTGTCGCCAGGCTGGAATGCAGTGGCAAGGTGTCTGCTCGCCACAACCTCCGCTCCCCGGGTTCAAGCAATTCTCCTGCCTCAGCCTGGCTAATTTTTTGTATTTTCAGTAGAGACAGGATTTCACTATGTTGGCCAGGCTGGTCTCAAACTCTTGACCTCAAGTGATCTACCCACATCAGCCTCCCAAAGTGCTAGGCTTATAGGCATGAGCCACCGCCCCTGCCAGCACAGTTTTCTACATGAGCAGAACCTGGCTGAGGGAGGGAAACTGGCTGCCAGTTAGGGGCCTTACCTTCCGTTTTACCCTCAGCATGCCCTGATGGATCATAGGGACTCGTAATTATGTTTCCCCCTTTTAGCCTGGGCTGTTCTCCAGGTAATTCTCACTTGGCCATCCCTAGGCACCGTCTTATGTGTTCCAAATCTGTACTTTCCTCCCCCAACCCAGCTCTGTGCAAGACTTAGGCGACCTTGGTGGACCTGGCTCAGGGGTGGTCACAGAGCCAGACCTCCCCAACTCAGTTAGCTCAGGAGTGGGTTGAAGGGAGGGTTTGTGGGTTGGGGAGCAGAGGCCAGAGAGCATGGGCTGTCTCTGAGTGGCCAGGAAAGGCAGCTACCTGGAAAGGCTGGTGGAAGCTCCGCAGAGGACTAAGAATCTGAAGTATTTGAGACAGGTGTGAATCAATTTAGGAAGCTTGGCCGGGCGTGGTGGCTCACGCCTGTAATCCCAACACTTTGAGAGGCCGAGGCGGGCGGATCACGAGGTCAGGAGTTCGAGACCAGCCTGGCCAACATGGCGGAACACCTGTCTCTACTAAAAAAAATAGAAAAATTAGCCGGGCGTGGTGATTCGTGCCTGTAATCTCAGCTACTCAGGAGGCTGAGGCAGGAGAATCGCTTGAACCCAGGAGGCGGAGGTTGCAGCAGGGAGCCAAGATCGCACCACTGCATTCCAGCCTGAGCGACAGAGAGAGACTCCATCTCAAAAAAAATAAAAACAAGAAAGCAAGCTTACTTTACCAAGGTTAAGGACAGGTTCATGACCTCAGGAGGTCTCAGCATTTGTCTCAGGTGAGCTGAGGGATGACTGCCCTGCACCTGTGAACATCAGCTCTCAATTTACATTGCCAGGGTGAAATTCAGCAGAAATGTTTTCGACTAAGAATACTGAGGGCCACAGGGAATTTCCGGGCCTGGCGGGGGTGTTGGGAGTACAGTCTCCTACTCCTCTCTCCCCACTGAGAAGCTCTTTACATTTCTCCTCCTTCACCTTTGACCTCGGAAATCCATAGCAGCCCTTAAAGAGCTCCCTTTTCTTTTGGGGGAGAAAGGAGAGGGGCCTGTCTGCAAAGGAGTGAGATGGGACTCCTGCATAAACTTGCTAAGTTGCCGCTTAAGCGACAAAGGAAAGGAACAAATAGCTAACATTTATTGAGCTCCTACTGTGTCCACATCCTGTTCTGAGGAATTTATAGGAGTTGGCTGAATTTTTCACTACTGGCTTATGAGGTAGATTCTGTGATTATCTCTGTTTGACACATGAGGGAATTGAAGAAAAGTGGATCTGGCTGGGCACGGTGGCTCACGCCTATAATCCCAGCAGGTTGGGAGGGCAAGGCGGGCAGATCACCTGAGGTCAGGAGTTCGAGACCAGCATGGCCAACATGGTGAAACACCATCTCTACTAAAAATACAGAAATTAGCCGGGCAGGGTAGCATGTATCTGGAGGTACTTGGAGGCTGAGGCACGAGAATCATTTGAACCCGGGAGGCAGAGGTTGCAGTGAGCCAAGATTGCACCACTGCATTCTAGCGTGGGCAACAGAGCGAGACTCCATCTCAAAAAAGAAAGGCGGAGGGCCTGGGGACTGGGTTCTGCAGGCTGGCTGGGAGCCAGCCCTCCTCCCCTTAGGCAGTATGCAGTGTGTGGTGGGCATCCGCAGGAACACAGCTGCAATGTGTACATCCCATGCCACTACCTGAAAAGAGAAGTGTAGGCCAGAGTGACCTTTTTTTTCTTTTTTTTTTTTTTTTTTGTCTTTCGAGACAGGATCTCACTTTGTCACCCAGGCTGGAGTGCAGGGGCACAATCTCTGCTCACTGGAGGCTTGACCTCCCCAGGCTCCCACCTCAGCCTCCCAAATAGTGGACCTACAGGTCTGTGCTACCGCACCTGGCTAATTTTTGTACTTTTTGTAGAGACAGAGTTTCACCATGTGCCCAGGCTGGTCTCAAACTCCTGGCCTCACGTGTTCCTCCCGCCTCGGCCTCTCAAAGTGCAGACCACCATGACTGGCCTTAAGTGGAAACTTGATAATCAATTCTAGGATGGAAACTTGGTATTACTGCAATAAACAAGGTGGATATATTAAAACAATTTAAATTTAAAAAGTTGTTAACCTCTGTTAGGCTCTGGCCCTAATGCCTGTTCTTCTCTTTGTTCCAAAGGGACGGTGGCAAATGTTAGGTGTTTTGTTTTGTTTTGTGCTTAAGATAGAGTCTGACCCTGTTGTCCAGGCTGGAGGGCTATGGCGCGATCTTGGCTCACTGCAACCTCCACCTCCTGGGTTCAAGCGATTCTCCTGCCTCAGCCTCCTGAGTAGCTGGGATTACGGGCATGCACCGCCTCACCCAGCTAATTTTTGTGTTTTTAGAGAGACAGGGTTTCACCATGTTGGTCAGGCTGCTCTTGAACTCCTGACCTCGTGACCCACCCACCTCAGCCTCCCAAAGGGCTGGATTACAGGCGTCAGCCACTGCATCCAGCCAACATTGGGTGCTAATGAACCACTTGCACCCTGTGAAGACCTTCTTGTTAAGATCATCTGCAGCAAGGGTCCCCAACCCCTGGGTCATGGACCCATACTGGTCTAGTGGCCCGTAACCTGTTAGGGCCTGGGCTGCACAGCAGGAGGTAAGCATGGGGTGAGTGAGTGAAGCTTCTTCTATATTTACAGTGACTCCCCGTGACTTGCATTATATCTGACCTCCACCTCTTATCAGCTCAGCAATGTGAAATTCTCATAGGAGCACGAACCCTGCTGTGAACTGCTCATGCCAGGGATCTAGGTTCCATGCTCCTGATGAGAATCTACTGCCTGATCTTTCATTGCCTCCCATCACCCCCCAGATGGGACTGTCTAGTTGCCAGAGGACAAGCTGAGGGCTCCCACTGATCCTACATTACAGTGAGTTGTAGAATTATTTCATTATGTATTACAGTGTAATAATAATAGAAATAAAGTACACAATAAATGTAATGAGCTTGAACCATCCCAAAACCATCCCCACCCCAGCTCGACCATATCCATGGAAAAACTGTCTTCCATGAAACCGGTCCCTTAGGCTAAAAATGTTGGGACCACTGATCTACAGGGTTGGAAGAGAATTGCACAAGGATTTGGTGTTCTTAGCGAGAGTTTTTAATCTATCTATCTATGTATTTATTTATTTATTTTTTAAAGATGGGGTTTCACCATGATGGCCAGGCTGGTCTTGAACTCCTGACCTCAGGTGATCCACTCACCTCAGCCTCCCAAAGTGCTAGGATTATAGGCGTGAGCCACTGCACCCGGCTGCGAGAGTTTTATCTTACTTAACTCTATGTCCCATCCCCACCTGTCAGGGGGGAAGGTACTGCCCAAGGTTAATGGTCATCTAAGTGCTGATACCTGTCCACTGGTTTCTAGGGTGTACCTGTACTGGGTTTTACTTGTTTATTTATTTATTTTTAGATGGAGTCTTGCTCTTGTTGCCCAGGCTGGAGTGCTGTGGCACGATCTCGGCTCACTGCAACCTCCACCTCGTAGGTTCAAGCCATTCTCTTCCCTCAGCCTCCTGAGTAGCTGAGATTACAGGTGCCCCACTGCTTTTTGCTTATTTAGTAGAGACGGGGTTGTGCCATGTTGGCCAGGCTGGTCTTGAACTCCTGACCTCAGGTGATCTGCCTGCCTTGGCCTCTCAAAGTGTTGGGATTACAGATGTGAGCCAGCGCGCCTGGCCTTGCTTGTTTATTTTTATTTTATAAGGGGGTTTGTGTACACACACATACACACACACACACACACAGTTTTTTTTTTTTGAAACAGAGTTTCCGCTTTCTGTGTCTGTGGATTTGCCTGTTCTGGACATTCCATATCATTGGAATTGTGCAATATGAGGCCTTTTGTTTCCGGCTTCTTTGAGGAGGCATCATGTTTTGAGGTCCATCCCCATTGTAGCATGAGTCAGCATCTCATTCCTTTTTCTGGCTGAGTAATATTCCTCTGTGCACATGGACCATTTTGTTTATCCATTCATCTGTTGATAGACTCCCTCTCCTTTTCTTTGTTCTTGTGATTGATTTGTTGAAAACTCTGAGTGTTTGTCCTGTAGTTGACATTCTCTTCCCTAGTTGAGATTTTGCAGATCATGTGCCCATGGTGTTGGTCAGGGTGTCAGAGATGTGCCGTGCAATACCATAGTCACTCATCACGTATGGCTATTTACATGAAAATAAAATAAAATGACCCCCTCAGCTCCTCAGCCGCACTGCCACACTTCAGCTGTGTGGTAGCCACAGAGGCCAATGGCTGCTGTACTAAGCAGTGCAGATACAGAACGTTTCGTCGTGGCAGGAAGTGGCCTGAATGCATGGTCAGACTCAGGTTTGAGATTCGGGTTTTGAGATCAGATTCGGGCACGCTGACTTCACAGGTGCCTTTTGCTGTTGGTCAGGAGGTAGGCGTTGGCTGGTTTCTCTTTTGAGGACAGCAGGAGACTCAGTTCCTGTCCACCCCTTGTCAGGCTCCCATCAGTTTTACACCTGATGCTTTTGCATCTTGTGAGTTCATTATCTGATTCTCTCCTGTCTCCGCTGATCAGCTGGAATCGGAAGCAGAACTTTTCTTCATTCTCTTTCTATAACCTCGGATCCATTTGTACAAGGGAGGCAGGTTAAATGCTAGATTCTTTTTTTAAAAAAAATATGAATTATTTTAGAGACAGTGTCTCAGGACGTTGACCAGGCTGGTTTTGAGCTCCTGAATTCAAGTGATCCTCCCATCTCAGCCTCCTGAGTACTACCTGAGAGTACAAGAGCATGCCACCACTACCCGCTGAGTGCTGGATTCTTGGTTGCACAGATTTTGATTTTTTTTTTTTTGAGACGGAGTCTCACTCTATTGCCCAGGCTAGAGTGCAGTGGTACTATCTCAGCTCACCGCAACCTCCACCTCCTGGACTCAAGCAATTCTCCTGCCTCAGCCTCCGGAGTAGCTGGGACTACAGGCACGTACCACCAAGCCCGGCTAATTTTTGTATTTTTTAGTAGAAACGGGATTTCATCATATTGGACAAGCTGGTCTCAAACTCCTGACCTTGTGATCTGCCCATCTGAGCCTCCCAAAGTGCTGGGATTATAAGTGTGAGCCACCACACCTGGCCAATTTTTGTATTTTTAGTGGAGAAGGGGTTTAACCAGGTTGGCCAGGCTGGTCTCGAACTTCTGACCTCAGGTGATCTGCTTGCCTGCCTCGGCCTCCCAGAATGCTGGGATTACAGACGTGAGCCACTACACCCAGCCCAGATTTTGATTTTGATGGGTACTGGATTTTTTTTTTTAATGCTCACTTGTCTCATCTGTAGCTAGCAGGTACCCCTTAGGGTTTGGAAGTGTCCTTGCTATCTAGGCTCACAAGATGCCTCAGGGTTACCTGGCCCATGACCTGCTGGGACCTGGAATCAGCCATTCCTTCAGAAGCCTGGCTCCTTGTTTTTAAAGATTTTATGTAGAGACAGGGCCTCCCCATGTTGCCCAGGCTGGTCTCGAACTCCTGGCCTCAAGCCATCTTCCTGCTCAGCCTCCCAAAGTGCTGGGATTATAGGAGCGAGCCACCTAGCCCTGCCCCTAGCTCCTGTGGGAAATGGTAGAAACCATAGTTGGTGTTAGAGGTATTCAGTCCTACTGTGCTATCGTCTCTTCTAGGCATTTTTAGTTGCAATTACTAGAAAATTCGATTTCTGTTTGCTTAAGAGAAAATACATGATGAGTTTTTATTGATATTTCCAGTTCAAATATAGGAGTTCTGAGATTTTTTTCTCAACTTTATTGAGGCATAGTATGTACTTTTTTTTTTTGAGACTCTGGAGTACAGTGGTATGACCTCTGCTCACTGCAACCTCTGCCTCCTGGGTTCAAGCCATTCTCCTGCCTCAGCCTCCTGAGTAGCTGGGATTACAGGTGCGCACCACCACGCCCAGCTAATTGTTTGTATTTTTGGTAGAGACGGGGTTTCACCATGTTGACCAGGATGGTCTCGATCTCTTGACCTCGTGATCTGCCTGCCTTGGCCTCTCAAAGTGTTGGGATTACAGATGTGAGCCAGCGCGCCTGGCCTTGCTTGTTTATTTTTATTTTATAAGGGGGT